TTTTAGGTAGCGCAGTAACTGTCTGTAAAAGCAAACTCAAACTTTATCGAATTACAAGTCTTCTTTGCATCAAGAAGCTGCAGAAAAATTTCACTTGAGTAGAGCCTAGAAGCATCATTAGTAATTGGGAGAAGCGGATGACTCGGAACAATGAATAATGAAAGAACTCAGCAGTTTAGAAACTCAATGCAGTCTTTTCGCGTTTTATTACCAAACTTGGGAAGGTGTAGGATTCTGTTAAAAATGGGCGATGTATTTCATACCTCTTATCTGGGTCCCCTGGCGACAATGACAACTTTCTTGCTTCTATCTTCATCTCCTTGACTGCGTTCACCACTTTGATGGCTCGCTTTATCGCCTCTTCCAGCTCAAAAATACGCTTGAACGGATGAAAAATGAGAAAGCGTTGCTTGCATGCCATATAGTCGCGATGTAGCGCTTGCAGCGCCTCTACCAGACACGCAGCCTGATCGCGCAATTGCTGTAGCCTCTGTTCGAGTCGGCCAGCTCCAGGGCCCAGACTCTGGAGCCCCTGTAGCTCCAATGGGCTTTGAGACTCTCGCCGGATCTGACCAGACGAGGTCTTGTTCCATAAAGCGCCGAAAGAGGCTGCAGAAGCCGACTCACTGTAGCAACCCAATCGCGATGAATCATGGGCCATAATGCGACCTGACAACCTCCTCGGCGCATTGAAGACGGAGTTCGTCCTACAGAACTGAGGCATTGCCTTGACTTGATTGTGCCTGTCTTCGATATCCACCTCTGGCATCTCGGGGATACTGGATTCGGCTGAAGAGCCCAGCACACCTTCTGTAAGGGGAATTTGCTTGTCAAACCCGATCACCTGTGTCAGTCTGGCAAGGCTTTTCGACCCTGTTGCCGGTGTCTCCATGAGCCAGTTCGGCGAATATGGCATGTTTTCGTCGGTTGGCACGGCTGTCGAAGCTGTTTCATGTCGGGCATTATTGTCATTCGTCGGTGATTTCGCGCTAGTTGACACAATCTTGAGCACGAAGTTGCTCAGGCGGCGACCAAAGTGAAGACGGCCATCGCTACTGCCTCCTCCGTCCTCTCCACAGACAACTCGAGTTGGGGATCTTTGCGTCAGAAGGTGGTGGTATGGCGAAATGGTCGACGTTTTGGGGACCTCATGGGAGGGCAGACCGAGAGGGAATGGGGCAGAGTTGCGGTGCTTGAGGGAAGGCAATAAAACAAAGATTTTATAGTCTCTTAGTAACCGTGCCAGATAAAGGAAAATTTCTTTGCGTCTCTTTCTGCCTATATTTCATCCAGCTAGTCTTACTTTTATACAGCCATGGGAAACTAACCATTTCTCTTCTGCCATGCGGACAGATTTTGAATTTAAATAAAGTCTATTAAGCATTTATTTTCAGGCTTATTCATGCAAAAGTATGCCAAAAATGCACTCAGCCTCAAGTCTACAGCTGCTGCGTTAGTTGACTGGAAACTTTCCATGTGGGCAAATCTAAACGACGTCAGATCCCACGTATCCTGGCCTTCAGTAGTAGGAGTTGTGTGGGCTGTGAAGCAAGAAAATCCTTGTGGGACGTTTATGAAGATAAATTGAGACTCCTGACCGTAGAGTTAACGAACGAGTTAGTAACTAGGGTGCAACAAATATGAAAATACAGGACAGATGAACTAGTGTGTCCTGACGCTATTTCGGCTTGCTCCAAGGAGCCAATGAATGGAGAAACGTGAAGGCAAGGCTCAAACCGGAAGGTTGGTAGATATTGCTTATTCAGTAAGCCCTCTGTCATATGATGGGTTTAATTAAAGTAATTTTATTGCAAATTTTCGAGTTGTTATTACTTGGATAATCAGGACTATCAAGAACTGAATCATGTATAGAGCACACCGTTCACCGTATTTTGTGAAGGGCACGGTTAGTTTAACTCCCAATATGGAAATGAAGTGAAGACGAGGTTTTACAATTAAACCCCCTGTGCCAGCTGTTCCAGTAGAACTTTCCTATTCAAACTGAACGGCACTTTTTGCCTCACCTGATATGCATGATAGCCAGTGGCGGGACTCGAACCATGGACCAGTAAAACTATCAGGGCCTAATACGCCTGGCGCTTGGGTACTTTATAAGTATTATAATCTCTGACATTTGCGACTAAAGGTCAACTGCCCATTGAGCGCGAAACCACAATTGTAGAATTCAGTCGATGAAACACGGAAAAACTTGACTAGAATCATCATTAAGGTAGATGGCAGCTTAAGTCCATGAGGCATGCTTTCTATCCAGCATTGTCAGAAAGATAGACTCGGAATCAGAAGATGAAATGAGACAAGCAACAATTGTTTCGCTCTTTAAAATTAGCCTGTAAAATAGGAATATTATTTTAAATCGAGATAGTTTACAAGAGTGACTTCTAGGTTGTCGTTAAGTCTAGCCTGAAAGGATGAATATTTGGATGACTTTTTTTATTGGCTTGGAAGACCATTGTTAGGCTCTGGACGAAACACGTGTTCAAAGATTTCCTTATTTTAATATAAAGTCGGTTTCGAAAACGTCAGTAAATTGTTGAATAATGTTTTCAGTCACTGTAGGCCACATAAGTTGATGAAGACCTGCTAGTTGAATTTTCCCACAATCACATGAGTTGATCTCAAGGTTACATTGCATCCAGCATAGCCCCGCTTCACAAAAGGTTTAATCATCCCGGCCATACGGATTGCAGTTTCGATCTTGTATAGGTCTCATCAACACTTCCAGCGGGACTCGAACCCAGGCAATGCAGCGTCAAATCTCTAAACGTTACCACCACTCCATATTACCACGAGAGCCCTTGGGTCACAGAGTAAGCGGAAATTTAAGAAGGCCATTGCTCGATACTGGCGTACATTTCATTTCGTTTGAGAAGATGGGTCGGAAGGATGCCTAGATTGGCCCCACCGGATAGCGCAGAAGGGTCGCCATGGGCCTCGGCAAGGCCACGTCCTACGATCACGATGATTTTGTGCTGAGCTTTCGTCCGTCCTGTGACGAACCATTATTCACGAAAAAATCACCATAAAAACACTAAACCGATAAAAGATGGCCAGCTGAGATCACATTTACTACTTATTTCTCATTTTGCGATCTTAATGAAACATTCCATGATTTGGTTGGCCGACCAATGCTTGTCCTTCATGCATGTAAGTGGATCAAAGTGATGCAGGCAGGGGAGCAAATGTCAATGTAAATAAACTAGAGTATGATCCAATAGTTCTGGGTCTTGTTACAGTTTCGTGGATGCGTGTTTGCGTGTGAATGCAACAACCTCGAATTAGTTCTATTTATAAGTCAGAGATAGTTCTTACTTAGTATCCTACATTCGTTCCTCTTGTTCACGATGTTCTATGTTTTATTAATTTCAATTGACTCTCTGATCTTCCGTTTAGCTGTGAAGTCCCCATATCCAGCATAACGTTGGGATTTAGACCACTTTATCTGATGCCCTGTAGCGACCACATGTTCAGCCACTTTCGATTTATGAATCCATAAACCTTTGTAGATGGTGCTGTGTTCTGATAGCCTCTTATGCATGTGTCGACATGTATCACCCACATAAACACTACCACATGAGCACAAAACCTTATAACAACCTGATCTGCAGAGGGCGTCGGAGGATTATCTAAAGGAAGGCATGATTGTGGAAAGCGTTATTTTTTGTTTAGACATTGTCTTGACACTTCATTTCCTCAATAATTTGCCTATCTTTCTTGAAAGCTTACAGGATGGCAACATTAGGAACCTGGCCGAAGAGTTATCTAATTCCTTGTTTTGGCCAAAATAATGGTCTTCCTTCACCCTTTTTCTCAACAGTTTGAAATTGTTCTCAATTGAGATCTTTCTTAGACTTTCTAACTCCTGTTCTTTGTGATTTACGTCCGCTAGGCGTAAACTCCTTAATATCATTGACTTCAATATGCCTATCTTAACACCATAAGTATGATTCAAGAATAAATTTAAAAGGAAACCAGCATTTGTGTGTTTCCTATATACATCTCTACCCAATTTGCTTCCTTCTTTACTAACTAACAAACTATATATATATATATACATAGGCCTAACTTTCCATTGAACATCATACAGGCTTCGAAGATATGAAGACCAAGATTTTGCGGCTCTCGGTATTGTCGCAGTCTCTTTTCGATTTATAGAAGTGATTTGACCACGTTTTCGCAACTTGGTCTTGTCAAGGAGACCTAACTGAGCGCACCTTGTCCGAAGTCTTCTACCGTAGTAGGTATCATAATTCCTAGCTTCAAGTCGACGGTATGCATAGCATAAATATATAGTAAAAATGTGAATTATCAAGTCAATGATAATACGGAATCTGAGTCTAGGAGCTTTAGACGAGAGGGACCAGGAGATAAGTTAGTTGAGGCATATACTATTTCAAAACTATTATCCATTCGAATTAGCCGACAATGACATATCAATTGTCAGTGACAAGATGAGGGTAGTTAGCTAACTGGGGCGGAATAGAGAATAGGACTATTCTACTAGTTTTCAGATTTTCCCTTTCCGTCAGCTTGTGAAAAAATTGGGTGATCTACTGAGGAATTAGAACATAAAAACAATGTATACAGTGAAATTAATACTTTCTTCAGTAGTTCAATCGTTTAGAGAATTTTCAGACCCTCTTTTTAGACCAGGTTGCTACAAGATTTTGTGCTCATGTGATAAGGTATATGTTGGGGAGACCTGCCTATCCATTCAGAAGAGACTATGCAAACACAAAACCGCATTTAAAGGTCTGTGGGTCCAAAAGTCTGAGCTCGCTGAACACATTTTGCCAATACCGGACACTCAATAGACTGGTCCAAAACACACGGTTTTGCGGGTTACGGGGACTTCACATCAAAGCGTACGTTTATAAAGCCTATAGAAACTAACAAAACAGCCAACGTTCTGAATAGGAAAAACGAGTGTAGAAAACTGGGTAGGAAGTATTTGTTGCTGTCGAATAGGTTGAAGGAATGCAGGAAGAACCACTGAGCAAGAGAAGGAGGCTGGATTGGTCTCAAGTCTAGCTATGGCTATCCCATTTCCCATAACATGAATATTACATACACACAATAGACAAAAGCACAAACCCAAACATGATTCAACATTAGAGGATCGTACAGCTGCAACCGAACGCACTTCCGGTTCGGGAAGTAACTTCACCCATTTGCAAGCATGTAGAGCAGGATTGAAGTATCCAACTCAATCATGAGATGTCTCATTAAGATAGCGAAGTTAGGTGCATAAAAAAGCGATTAGGGTTTCAGCTGGTCACGAAACCCTCGGTTTAGTACATTTTTGCTCTATTTCGTAAAGTATGGATTCTTGCTCTGATGATATCTGTCAAGCTACGGACAAAAGCTTAGCACATTTGCATCGGGTTAGCAGGACGCTGGGCCAAGAACTTCTTCACACAATTCAACAGTCTTCCTTACGTGACCATCCTCCTGTGGTTTCCGGGGAGACCACATTATGAATTCATTCCAACCAAATTTCATTTCGAAATGGATAGGCATGACACAATATATCAATAAGTCATTCTTCGAAACCCAGTTTTTCTTCACATCCTTTATTGGTAACGTTTCTATTCAGAACCACACTTTAGATGAGTCTTAGTTTAATCTTTCGCTCCCACGCACTGTCAAAAATCTAATCAACTTAAATGGATGTGTGTCTGAAATAGGCAATCGGAGTAGTGATTGAAAGCTATCAAGGGGGGTAATGGTCGTTGGACCTTGATTATCAAGGACAGGTGTTCTGTTGTAATTAACTTAAACTATCACTGTTGGATGAGGTCGTATAAGCATACACAGGCACACGCATATGCTTCCAGATCGACATATGACTTGAATTAACCCAAAAGCTGTACAATTAACTAAAATTCATACATTCCGACTATACACACTGCATCTATGAATAAGTTGTATTGACTCTTTAGCTTGAATATTTCTATTATTATGATACCCTGCATTATTGATGTCCGTCACATGGCGGACGAAAGTTTAGCCTATTTCCACAGGAATCGAACTTGACAGCCTCAGTGACAGCGTCAACTGGATTCTTTCGGTAAAGCCAACTGACAGCTAACCGAGAGGACTCCACTGTCGTCTTTTCGTGGGATTGACCTTTGAGGATTCTCATTAAACATTTTCTCTAGAAATGGAAATGGGCTTAACAATTATAAACCTCGAAACCTCTCTTTTATTCTCACTCAACGCAGGCAAAAGTGAAGAACAATCTTAGTCATCATATTTATGATGGAACCATTTGTAAATAAAACACAGACTTAACAGACAGGAGTGTTCTGGTTCAAACCCCGGAGC